CCGCCCCAGCTGGGGAAAGGGCTCGTTAACCCTCCTAATCGTACCCCCTGAAAGCTGTTTGTTCAAACACCGGTTGTGGAGCCGCCAGCCACCCGCCATCTCCCACCCACCATCTTCACACCCCGAAAAAACCCGCACAAAACGAGGTGCTTTCCCTCCTGAGTTACACCTCCTTGGTCACCTGTCTAACGAAGATTAAGGGGGGGTCAGAGAAGACTGACTTTTTGTGGGGTTTGTAGCCAACACGGGTTTGCACCCCACAGGGCTGAGGAGAGCGAGCGTTGGGCTGGAGGAGGCCTGTCTGCCACCATCGTGTCCACGCAGCCTCCTCCCAACATGTGTCCGCTCATCGCAAATTAATATATACGCTACCTGTGGGAAAAGGAAGGCAAACTGCATAAATAAACGAGACCTTGTGAGGGCTGAGTCCGCAGCTGAGGGTAAATCAGCAGAGTTGCCTGCAAGGCAATGCTTTAGCTACGGGGAATCAGCAGCCCAGGTGAGGAGCTTCCCTAAATGCTCTGCAAAGCCGCTGCAGAAGTGTGCAGTGCAGGATGTAGTCCCAAAGAGAAACACGGCGGGTAGAGGTATCGAGTTATGCGCTAAAAATAACAGTGCATTTGTTGCTGTGAAAAGAAATTGGCAGCACATTACTTCTTTTTTAAAAAACTTCTGCACGTACAGAAGAATAACTACATTTCAATTAGCAGGAAAATATATATTTTCATATCTCATATATAGCGTCATTTATTTTCTGTATAGATCTAGACATATATTTATATTTTAGAAACTATCGTGGTTTTTAGACTCCAATAAGCCCAGTCCTCACTGTCTCCTCTCAGCTCAGACTTGGCAACAACATTAAGATAATGGGATTTGTGGTACACAGCAGGAGAAGCCAAAACACTCCCCAGGAGCATAATCCCGTGGAGACTTTAGGGGTCCGGGGGAGGAGAGATTGATTGTTTTGTGTTGGGCACGGGGCTGCTGAAAAACAGATTCTGGTCTTTCCTTCCGTTCCTTACAAACCTACCTTTCAAAGAAATGCTCAAAAATCAGCAACGACTAGTTTA